GGACAGATATTGGGGGTAAGAGACGGATGTTGGGGGTGGGGGACAGATATTAGGGGTGGAGGACAGATGATGGGAGTAAGAGGCGGGTGTTTGGGGTGAGTAACGTAAACAGATAGGTATCAGAACGAGAATGAGAGTAATATATATAGATAGATAAGAAGACAATGGTGGTCGGTCCAGTCACAGCCAGCGTTTGTCTGTGGTTAAGTTTAGGGGAGGAGAGAATGTGATAATATTGTTAATTACGGCTCTACCTGTATAGAACACCTCAGTTAACTTGTCACAGTGAGACCAACCACACATTATAGCGTTATCATTATTATTATTATTGTTATTATTATTTCTACGTGTTATTGGAATAGCCAGCCAGAGAAACAAAGATTCAAGACACGACTCCGGTAATGGCAGGTGTTCACAGATGGTATAGAGGAGAGGAAGAACTAGAGATGAAGTAGCAGAAGTAGTAGTAGCAACAAGACCACTCCCCCTCCTCACTTTCATCATGGGGAATATGACTGTAGAACCTGTCATTTTCTGCTTCACTCTCGCTTACGTCTCTTTGGTAATTAAACTGTTTTTCTTAAAAGTCACTTGTCAATGCAATGTTTTGTGTGGTGCGGTGGTAGCTGTTGTAGTAGTAGTGTGGCTATAAGAGGAGGTTGGAGGCCATAACGAGTAGTTGTAGTTGTAGTTGCTATGACAGGTGTTGTGTTTGTAATGAGGTTTTTATGACAGGTGTTGTGTTTGTACTGAGGTTATGACAGGTGTTGTGTGTGTACTGAGGTTATGACAGGTGTTGTGTGTGTACTGAGGTTATGACAGGTGTTGTGTGTGTACTGAGGTTATGACAGGTGTTGTGTGTGTACTGAGGTTATGACAGGTGTTGTGTGTGTACTGAGGTTATGACAGGTGTTGTGTGTGTGTACTAATATGTGTGTTGTTATGACAGGTGTTGCTGGGGCAGGACTTCATCATACGACGGAAATGTTGGGAGCGTCTCTTGGATCCCAAATGTAACGTTAAGCTTCTCTCCAGCACCTACTTCCTCCTCCCCACCCTCAACACCACCTACAACACCACCTACAACACCATCTACACCACTTACAACACCCTCAACACCACCTACAACACCACCCAACATCAACACCTCCTTTCCACCCACAGAAACAGCCACCCGCACCTCCTCGCCACCCAAGACATGCAGGGTGAGGCGGCCAAGTTGTACTCTCTCGTGTTCATCACCTTCGTCGTCGTCTCCGTCGTTTCTTCCCAGGTGCTCGGCTCCTTGGTGGACAGGTTAGTCTCCAAGATTGTAGTATTGTTAACCAGTTCGATGGCTATTGTATACCTGCACTGTTGAATGAATGTAAATTTATGTGATGAGTTTAATGAATAACTATCTATGTATTTATCCCTCTGAATACCAATGGTTTACTGAAAATGTTGTGCAGAGTACCATATGTGCTGAGAGTGTACCATATGTGTTGACAATCTACCATATGTGCTGAGAGTGTACCATATGTGTTGACAATGTACCATATGTGCTGAGAGTGTACCATATGTGTTGACAATCTACCATATGTGCTGAGAGTGTATCATATGTGTTGACAATCTACCATATGTGCTGAGAGTGTACCATATGTGTTGACAATCTACCATATGTGCTGAGAGTGTACCATATGTGTTAACAATCTACCATATGTGCTGAGAGTGTATATCATATCTGGATACAGGTGGTCGAGGAAAACGATGATGCTGGCACCATCTGTGGGACTGGTGTTGTGGACGCTGGTGTACTTGGCTCTCGCCTCCCTGCCCTCACTTCCGCTCCAGCTGGTGTTTGTCGGTAGTTGTGTGGGAGGCATTACTGGTGGTTATGTCACTCTTCAGGTAAGTCCTCTTTACACCTCACTGAACACATTTTGCACCCCACTGAACATCTGTTACACCCACTGAACATCTGTTACACCCCACTGAACATCTGTTACGCCCCACTAAACATCTGTTACGCCCCACTAGACATTTGTTACACCCCACTAGACATCTGTTACCCCACTAAACATCTGTTACACCCACTGAACATCTGTTACACCCACACCACTGAACATCTGTTACACCCACTGAACATCTGTTACACCACTGAACATCTGTTACACCCACTAAACATCTGTTACACCCACTAAACATCTGTTACACCCACTAAACATCTGTTACTCCCACTAAACATCTGTTACACCCACTGAACATTTGTTACACCCACTGAACATCTGCTACACCCCATTTAACATCTGTTACACTCACTAAACATCTGTTACACCCCACTAAACATCTGTTACACCCACTAAACATCTGTTACACACCACTAAACATCTGTTACACCCACTAAACATCTGTTACACCCCACTAAACATCTGTTACACCCACTGAACATCTGTTACACCCCACTAAACATCTGTTACACCCACTAAACATCGGTTACACCCCAGTGAACATGTTACACCCCACTAAACATCTGTTACACCCACTGAACATCTGTTACACCCCACTAAACATCTGTTACACCCACTGAACATCTGTTACACCGGTTTAGACGGCAGTGATCAGTTATGTGGTTCGCGAGACGCCCCCAGAGCGACGGACGGTGAGGTTGAGTATCCTGGAAGCCTGTGCCTACGTGGGGTACCTCACCGGGTACCTCGGTGTTTACATCCTGACCCAACTTGACCAGACTTCCCACGCCGCCCTCTTCCTAGGTCAGTGGCGTCATGGAGATAACCTAACTTAATTTAATTTAATCTAATTTAACCGAATCTAACTTAACCTAATTTAACCTAATTTAACTAATCTAACTTGATCTAACCTAACCTAACTTCATATTACCAAATCTATCCTAGTTTAATGTAACCTAATCTGACGTAACTTAACCTAAACTAATCTAACCTAACCTAACTTAATCTAACTGAATCTAACTTAACTAACCTACTTTAACCTAACCCAATTATTTAAAATGAGTTAACTGAAGAAATCAAACCTAACCTATTTCAAACAACCAAATCTAAAATATTCTAAGCTAACCTAACTTAACCTAACGTAACCTACCCTAACTTAAATGTAGCATAATCTAAAGAATTTACCCCAAAAATGTAGTTTAACCTAAAGAATCTTCAATCAATTACTACATAAGCCATTATGAATATATTTTTTGAGACACCCTGTTATCTTCTCGTATCTCGGAACAGTTAATGAAGGTGTGTGTATAGTGAACGTCTTCTACATTATATTTCTCCTGCCTGATGACTCCAAGATACCAACTGTACCCGTTAAGGAACCTCCCACCACTGTCTCTTTCACAACACTTGAGGAAATGGGCCCTCCTGCTGTAGAACCTCCTGACGATGAAGGCGTAGATGAAGTAGATGGTCCAAGATTTATAATATCATCTCAGGACTCGATTCTTGACGATGAAGACAACGATGACGAGTTGAGAAGCACCCATACTGGCTTCCTCATCCCCATCATGACCAATCCTAGTGACGAGGTTAGCAATTATGGTACACCTTATGGTACCCCTCCCGAGTACCCAGATCCCTGCCCCAGCACCTATGGTACACCTCCTCCTCCTCCTCCTCCTTCTTCACCAGTACCACCAAGGTCCTCTCTGGCTCTTACTGCTGCACTAGAGATCCTTACCGCCGTGGCTGGGGTCCGCAAGCTCCCCATAACCTTGAGTACCTCCGTCGTCGATGATACGTGCACACGACTTCCTCCTGCACCAGATGTGGGAGATGATCCGCCATTGAGTCACTCGATTCTAGACCACCACACTCAAACAGATCACCACACTCAAACAGATCACCACACTCAAACACACCGCCACCACCACCACACTCAATCACGCCACCACACTCATTCACATCACCACACTCATTCACACCACCACCACACTCAACCACGCCACCAAACTCAACCACGTCACCACACTCAATCACACCACCAATCACACCGCCACACTCAACCACGCCACCACACTCAACCACGCCACCACACACAACCACACCACGGCCAACCACACTACCGCCACACTCAATCTGACCACCACACTCCACCACACCACGGCCAACCACACTACCGCCACACTCAATCTGACCACCTCACTCAACCACACCACGCCCACACTCAACCACACCACCACATTATCGGTGCCTCAGTAGACGAGGTGGACAACTTCCGCCCACTCACGCCTCTACGAGACACTGATGCTGACGCCCACAACCTGACACCAACCATCTTGCTGACACCCGCATCAATAGCTGACGACCAGGACTTCCTACTCACCATGCTCCTGGCACCCACCACGCCAGCTAATTCAGTAATATCGGACGCTGGTAATGAAGACAGCCGCTGTACGTCTGACGAGGAGGATGCTGACAGCTGTGAGGATGTGCAGCAGCTGACAGAAACAACAACAGCAGCAGTAGGACTACCCACAACCTCCTCTTCTGACAGTCACTCAGATGTAGACAGAGAGGATGTAGCTGACAGTCACTCGAGAGGGGACGTAGCTGACAGTCACTCAGATGTAGAGAGAGAGGACTTAGCTGACAGTCACCCAGTTTTAGAGAGAGAGAACTTAGCTGACAGTCACTCGAGAGAAGGCGTAGCTGACAGTCACTCGAGAGAAGGCGTAGCTGACAGTCACTCAGATGTAGAGAGAGAGAACTTAGCTGACAGTCACTCGAGAGAAGGCGTAGCTGACAGTCACTCGAGAGAAGGCGTAGCTGACAGTCACTCAGATGTAGAGAAAGAGGACTTAGCTGACAGTCACCCAGTTATAGTAAGAGAGGACGTAGTGACAGGTGACCATAATATAAACATCACATACGCCGCTACACTTGACGCCACAAGACCCTGTACTACTGAGTGTGGGACTCCTGATGGTGACAACATCGTCCCATATCACCACGACAGTCGCATTTCCTTCTGTAGCAGCGAAGGTTCATCTCGTCACCCGTCTTCACATATTAATGGTGGTCGTAGCTCTTCTTTTAGCGATGCTCAAGTGTCACTGTACAACGATGCGCGACAGATAGAGGGAGAGAGATGGCAGGGTGGTTTGGTTTGCGCGCTGAGCTGCATCTTCCAGCCTATAGCCGTCACGTTCAAGCGTCGTGGGGTTGGTGTGAGAGCCATGGTGACGGCTGACATCCTCGCTGCCTTCATCGTCAGCTTTGTATCATCGGGTGAGCAGGATCCAGTTGTGTTTACTGTTGCTCTTTTGACTGTGTAGGAGAGAGAGAGAGAGAGTTTTAGTTTTTAGTTTAACAAATTTATTGACAAAGCTTGTAGTACAGTTTGTCTATTCTGAGTAATTCAGTCAGGTCTTGACACTGAGGGTGGTGTCACTTCTCACTCCCACGCAGTATAGAGGTTCATACACAAAGAAATACAACATATTTATTAACAGCTATATATATATATATAGAGGTCAGATTCATGTGGGTAATGGGAGAGAGAGGCAGGCTGTAATATGAGAAAGTATGATTATATGCTTAACGTAATTCCGACCTTTATTATTATTATTATTATTATTATTATTATTATTATTAGTATTAGTATTATTATTATTATTATTATTATTATTATTATTATTGAACTTCAGCTGAAATGGACATCACATATCTCTACCTAAAGACCAAGATGAAACTGAACACAGACAACTACGCCGCCTACTATGTCTTTAAGGGCAGCGTCGAATCGGTGGCGCTTCTGCTGCTCCTGCCTCTCTTACGTCGCTTCCCGGGGCTACAAGATGCCTCTCTGGGGGTGGTGGGAGGCATTAGTCGATGTTCCTTCTTCGTAGTGTTGGGCACCATATCCGATCCTAAGCTGGTGTTTCTTGGTGAGTGTGTTGCTGTGTTGTGTTCACGATAGACGGGAAGGTGGCACTGTATACAAGCACCATTCATAATGCAGGAACAACCCACACAATGTATACTAACAACCCACACTGTGTATAATAACATCAAACAAAATATTACAACCCACACAGTGTACCAAAGTCTTTTTACAGTGTACAAACAACCCACACGGTGTACTAATAATCCACACAGTGAACCTTAAACACCCCCCCTCCTCCCATGCATACTGTAACACCCCTCCTCCCTTGCATACTGTAACACCCCCCTCCCTTGCATACTGTAACACCCCCCTCCTCCCTTGCATACTGTACCTCCCTTGCATACTGTACCCCCTCCCTTGCATACTGTAACACCCCCTCCCTTGCATGTAACACCCCCTCCTTGCTGTAACACCCCCCCCTGCACTGTAACACCCCTCCTCCCTTGCATACTGTAACACCCCCCTCCTTGCATACTGTAACACCCTCCTCCCTTGCATACTGTAACACCCCTCCTCCCTTGCATGCTGTAACACCCCCCCCTCCTTGCATGCAACACCCCCTCCTTGCATACTGTAACACCCCTCCTCCCTTGCCTGTAACACCCCCCTCCTTGCATACTGTAACACCCCCTCCCTTGCATACTGTAACACCCTCCCTTGCATCACAACACCCCTCCCTCCCTTGCATACTGTAACACCCCTCTCCGCATACTGTAACACCCCCCCCTCCTCCATGCATACTGTAACACCCCCTCCTTGCATACTGTAACACCCCCTCCTCCTTGCATACTGTAACACCCCCCCCTCCTTGCATACTGTAACACCCCCCTCCCTTGCATACTGTAACACCCCCCTCCCTTGCATACTGTAACACCCCTCCCTTGCATGCTGTAACACCCCCTCCCTCCCTTGCATGCTGTAACACCCCCTCCTGCATGCTGTAACACCCCCCTCCCTTTGTGTACACCCCCCTCCCTTGCATACTGTAACACCCCCTCCCTTGCATACTGTAACACCTCCCTTGCATGACTGTAACACCCCCTCCCTTGCATACTGTAACACCCCTCCCTTGCATGCTGTAACACCCCCTCCTCCCTTGCATACTGTAACACCCCCCTCCCTTGCATACTGTAACACCCTCCCTTGCATACTGTAACACCCTCCCTTGCATACTGTAACATACCCTCCCTTGCATACTGTAACACCCTCCCTTGCATACTGTAACACCCCTCCCTCCTTGCATACTGTAACACCTCCCTTGCATACTGTAACACACCTCCCTTGCATTACTGTAACACACCTCCCTTGCATACTGTAACACCCCCCCTCCCTCCCTTGCATACTGTAACACACCCCTCCCCTTGCATACTGTAACACCCCCTCCCTCCCTTGCATACTGTAACACCTCTCCCTTGCATACTGTAACACTTCTCCCTTGCATACTGTAACACCCTCCCTTGGCATACTGTAACACCCCCTCCCCTCCCTTGCATAATAACACCCCCCTCCTCAGACATTGTAACACCTCCTTTGCATACTGTAACACCCCCCTCCCCTTGCATATCAACACCCTCCCTCCCTTGCACACTGTAACACCACGACAGTCTCTCCACGCAGCACACTGAAAGCCTCTACCTTCACAGTGGCACTACTTGGTGGCTTCGGGAAGTACTTATTCGTGGCGGGGCGAGTCATCCTGGCCAGTCTAGTGGAGGATCATGAGTCAGGTATACAACAATGTGTTTTGGTTCTGTTCACAGGTGTTAAGACTAGGGTGGTGGGTCATATCCACAGGTCGAGTGTTGACTGTGTCGTATATTCACAGGTCGAGTGTTGACTGTGTCGTATATCCACAGGTCGAGTGTTGACTGTGTCGTATATCCACAGGTCGAGTGTTGACTGTGTCGTATATCCACAGGTCGAGTGTTTACTGTGCTGGGCAGCATGGAACAGCTTGGCATACTGTGTGGGTGCCTGGCTTTCCATGAACTGTTCCCGGCTTTACTGTGTCTTAATATGCCAGGCGTGACAATGCTGCTAGCCGGCCTCCTAGTGCTCATACCTACTATTATATTTGGGTAAGACAATAAACCTATTATACTCACCGTTATTGTTTGTTGTTGTTATTATATTTGTATTATTATTATTAGTAGTAGTAGTTGTAGCAGTATTGTTGTTATTATTATTATTATTAATAGTAGTTGTAGTAGTATTGTTATCATCATCATCATCATCATCATCATCATCATCATCATCATCTACATTTATATCAATATCATCATCAATTACTACTTATCATCATCAATACTATCATCATCATCATCATCATCATCATTATTATTATTATTATTATTATCCTTCACAGAGCATTGTACTTCGCTTTGGGTCTACGGCCGCCAGATCTTATCGTTCACATGCCCACCTCTTCCTCCTCCTCCTCCTCTCTCTTCCCCTCCAACACTCCTCGTTCTTCCGTCTCTTCCCCACCACACTCCCTCGCCACCCACCATCACCATCTCTCACCCTGATGGAGAAGGATCACCAGCTTGTTTTTTGTTGGAGAAAATATGAAAAATTAAACAAAGTGAGGAAAAATAAATTAATAGCAATTGGGTTTTTTTATGTATCAAGTCGGGATATTTTCTAGTTCTTAGACAAGTTGTAGCCAAGCTTAACCTAACCTAACCTAATCTAACCCAGTCATACCTAACCCAAGTAAAATTAACCTAATCTAACATTTATTATGAGATAGATTGATTAAAATTTTCCTTTTTTAGAATGAGATGCACTAATAAAATATATTAACTCTGACTAGATATTTATTAACCTAAAATACTGTGTGTGTGTGTGTGTGTGTGTGTGTGTGTGTGTGTGTGTGTGTGTGTGTGTGTCTGTGTGAATTTAATTTGAAGCTTGTATAACAGCTATTTTATTGTGCACCCCATACTCATCCTGCGGTAGCACAATAAGGATAACAGCTTAGTTCACAAAGGATGTGTAATAGCCTCTAGTAAATAAATAACTAAACAGATAAGATATAACTTTATTCGGTAAAATCGTCAGCTTATATATAAAGAATGCCGGTATACAGTTCAACATACACAGTGTATTCACTCCCAGTAAACACTGCTCCTTAAGCACTGTCACTATTATGTTGTATCGAACTGTAGTTTGAGCTGATCCCCATCTAAGTTATTTTTATATCTTATTTGTGTCACTTATGTTACTTTGTATATTATTTGTAATTCGTAAATCCATTCCCCAAATATAACTATATTTTCGTTTTCTACGCTGCCAAGCTCTTTCAATAAACCGTTAATTATTATTATTATTATTATTATTACAACAATAATTGTATGTATTAGTTCATGGTACTATTATAACATTCACAGCAGTAATATCTCCTGTGTCTGTTGTCCTTAATACAACTTTTATCTTCTTCACCACTGATCGGCTCGTTAGCCGCTTGGGCGATCGGTAAAGGAGCGGACCACTACCGCCAGGAGTTGTTCGATTTCGTTCATTTTTTCCACAGATGTTCTCCGGAGGATAGAAAGTAATAAAAACAATACGACAATGCACAGAACTTAATAGAACTGACCTAACCAAGGAAACCTCTCTAACTTCCGTCCCCACACCCTCAGCATGTTAAACAGAAGAAACGTTCTTTGATATCTGGTACTAATAAAAGCAACTTTCTTAAAGCAGCATAGTGTAATTATACGTTTTTTGTGGACATGAGAGTACGCAAGGACCGAGCGGCTCGGTTGTTGCACAGCAACTAACAGTTAGTTGCTGTGCAACAACCGGTCCACTATTTGTTAATAACAAATAGTGGACAACAAGCGCCGACACGGCAGGTTTTTCGGAGGAATATTTTCGGTAAATAATTAATTTCTTGGCGTACACAGCACATAGAGACATCATTTTAGTGTCAAATTATCAGGTTTTCACCGAGTTTACCCCAACAATTTCCCACATCATTAATACTCTGCACACTACAGGTGATGTGTGTTCGTAGATAGAAAAAAAATATTTATAAATAAAAAAGTTATTTTATCGTATTTATCATTTACTATCATCCAAATAACATCTGTGGAAAAAATGAACGAAATCGAACAACTAGTGTTAGCTGTCTGCTCCACTAGTACCCGTGTTAGCTGTCTGCTCCACTAGTACCCGTGTTAGCTGTCTGCTCCACTAGTACCCGTGTTAGCTGTCTGCTCCACTAGTACCAGTGTTAGCTGTCTGCTCCACTAGTACCCGTGTTAGCTGTCTGCTCCACTAGTACCAGTGTTGGCAGTCGCTCCTGTGCTGTCTGCTCCACTAGTACCAGTGTTAGCTGTCTGTTCACTAGCACCAGTGTTAGCTGCCCTGCCCACTCTTGGGGCAATTCGTGTTAGTTGTTCGCTCCATCAGTACCAGTGTTACCTGTCTGCTCCACTGTAGTACCTGTGTTAGCTGTCTGCTCCAGACTAGTACCTGTGTTAGTTTTGCCTGTTCCACTAGTACCCAGTGTTAGCTGTCTGTTCCACTAAAGCCTTTGTGTTAGCTGTCTGCTCCCACTAGTACTATGTTACCTGTCTGCTCCACTAGCACCTTCCGTGTTAGCTGTCTGCTCCACTAGTACCCGTGTTAGCTGTCTGTTCTTGACTAGTACCCGTGTTAGTTGTCTGCTCCACTAGTACCCGTGTTAGCTGTCTGCTCCACCAGTACCCAAAGGCTGTCTGCTCCACTACAGTACCCGTGTTAGCTGGTTCGTTCCACTCATGTCTGCTAGCTGTCTGCTCCACTATACCCGTGTTAGTTGTCTGCTCCAATTAAAAACCCAAGAATGTCTATTCCAATTAGGGGCAATTGTGTTAGCTGTTCGTCTTAATTAGCATCTGTGTTGGGCTGTCTGTCTAATTAGCAATTCGTGTTAGCTGTCTGTCTAATTAGTACCCGTGTTAGTCTGTTCCACTAGTACCAGTGTTACCTGTCTGCTCCACTACCAGTGTTACCTGTCTGTCTAATTAGTACCCGTGTTAGCTGTCTGCCCACTAGTACCAGTGTTGTTTTGTCTGCCCACTAGTACCAGTGTTACCTGTCTGCTCCACTAGTACCAGTGTTACCTGTCTGCTCCACTAGTACCAGTGTTACCTGTCTGCTCCACTAGTACCAGTGTTACCTGCCTGCTCCACTAGTACCAGTGTTACCTGTCTGCTCCACTAGTACCAATGTTACCTGCCTGCTCCACTAGTACCAGTGTTACCTGCCTGCTCCACTAGTACCAGTGTTACCTGTCTGCTCCACTAGTACCAACATAACATAAGTAACACTTTATTTGTATTTCTCTGGTGCCCGGTACTGGCAGAGACGTGACCGACCGTCCCAGCGGCTCACGAGCTCATCAGTGGTGAGAAGGATAATGTAAAAAGTGAAGCGCAGTGAAAATTGCTTAACCTGGTCTCATAAAGAAAATAATAAAAACAAAGTGTGAGTTACAGGATGAAACTGTTATGATATAATTTTAATTTAAATAAATTTTGCAAATATATATAGCTTTTTATGAAATTTTCAAAGGATTATAAAAAATAATACCATCCTGTTGTGTTATCGTCGTGGTTATCGCTTAACATGGTTATATAATGAAAAAAAAATCATTTGATAATTTTTTAACGAACTTTTGGAAATGCAAAAAATAAATAAATAATTTTGGTAATTATAATGACTGAATTTTTTAAATTATAAAACACCAGTGAAAAATATTAGTGACTACGGTTTCAGGAACGAATCATGGCACCTTTTCACGATACTGTATGTTAAATAAATAAAACTATCAGGTATTTTTGAGCTATATCTAATTTAATAATGACAACAGTAAAATTAAAATAAAATAAAACAATCTGGTGTAAATAGTGATAGTAAAATGGTTCAGTGGGTTGAGAAACTATACATGTTAATTCTCTACACGGAAAATATTTATATTTAATAATATTTTTATTTAAAATAAGGATAAGACACTCCAAGATATAATGACATTAATAAATGTATTAGGTAATGAGGTGTTCGTGGGTGATGACCAACATGATCTCGCTATCGTCTTCGTCGTCGCCATCTTGCGACGAAAGTGAAGTGCACACCTTGGGGCTCCGCCTGTATATCTTGGGAGTTTCCTCACTCCCAAGACTCTGTTTAGTTTTCCTGTGACCCTGCACACCTTCCTCGCCCTCCTAGCCTGTGTTCTATAAGGATACAGCGCCACATTACTGTTTGTGTGTGTCATAATGGCTTGCTAAACACCAAGATGTCTAGTGGTGGATGTGTACTCGGTAGCGGAGTCTACTCCCTCCTGCGTACCTGTGTGGCTGTGTTGGTGTATGGACACAACGACGCCTTCCACTGCTACTACTGCTGCCATGGACAAGAACAACAAGGTGCCCAGGCTGCCTCAGCTGACTGTTAAAACTACCAGTCAAGAAGCTGTTGGTAGAGGTGGGTTGTGGGTCATGGATGGCGTAATACCTTTGTCTCCTAACATTATTATCACCTAATTTACCTTCCTAAACTACTCCATTTACCTATATATAAATTTCCTATGTACCTGTAATTAATTTTTTCTGCTTAAACATGAATCATACCTGTAAAGCAATATTTATGACAACTACCACAGGTTAATTATTTAAGGTACACCAACATTTGTGTATCACTGGATTATCTTGGTAAATATACAAAATACTGAACAAATGAAGGTTATTTGGCACCAGCGCATGTCACCGAGCAGCGAGATGATTGCAGGCGTATTAACTGTTTTTATTTTATTTTCGTCTTTAATAAATTGTCATGGTGTTTTCTGTTACGTTCTATCCCAGGCAACAGTTATTTCCATGTATGTATTGATGGGAATGAATGTGGTGACGAAACGGATTAAAAATAGTGGTGACAAAATGAAACGGGTTGGTGACAATATGAGCAGACTTCATATAGAGTTAATTTCAGTCGTTGATTGATTTTATTAGGAATTTATCTCCTACAGTAAAATACAACAGTAGTAATATGACGGGTTGTATACTGCAGAGGTGTATGACTGTCTGGTAGCCATGGTAGTCAGTGTTGAGAATGTGTGGCTGAACAGGGTCCTCAATGTTAAATATAGTAAAGAAAATATAAACTAGTTTCTGTATGCTATTTCGCTGTGACCAGTAAATTAGCATGTTATTTTTTATTGTCACTGGCTAGTTAGTTTTTCAGTTGTATGTTGTGGGAACTTGGGGCGTGTGTCTATAGGCTAGGATACGCCATTGCTTTCAAGTTTAAGATAAAAATAAGTTTCTAATATTCTTGGTCTTGGGTAATCAATATTTATCGTTTTATGTTTTTTATGGCGTTTTACTTTTATGACAATGACTTGTGGGCGTTTTACTAAAATTATATAATATGTGTCTCGGCCCCCCACCCCCCATACACGTCTGAACTACACAGGGTCCCCCACAATGTTGAGGGAAACACTGTGATTATCGTCCTTTGTTGCAGAATATGGTGGGAAAAAATCAGCGCCCCAACATGCTCGGAAACGGGAGTATGACCGTCCCGACTCGGGGCGGAAACCGGTGGCCGGGCGCGGTGGGCGGACGGGCCAGCGGTATGTCCGTCCCCGGGAGAAGATGGGTGGCAAGGTAAAGGCTACTGACTTACGTAGTGTTAAGTTAGTAATGCATATCATGGTTTGCACTGTTGCTTTAGTGATGATCGTGCTAACACACATTAGAGTGGGTGGCTGTGACTGGTGGAGTGTTTAATGCCATATTTCATAGATACAGTTCAGGGATTAATGTACTGTATTGGAATGCCTCTCAAGATGATAGCCAGTGTCCGTGTCATTAACTATTTATGGTCATTTTCCACTTGATGACAGCTCCCCATTGGTTCATGTAGTCTGCCTTAGGTACATGACATTACAATTTCCAACTAATTACATAATGTAGAATTTATTTTAAGGGTATGGAGGTCGGTTTATAATGGTGACTGCTCTCTACAGGTAGATGGCGGCACTGGCACGTCGGAATCTGGGTCACTGTACTGCACGGGTGGCAAGAAGCAGAACATCACGCACCTGATGAACTGGTGGGGACCAGGTCACAGGTCGCATGGTAATCGTAGAGGAGGCGGAGCTCAAGTGAAACGCTACTCCTCGCACGCCCCCAAGTACAGCAAGGAGCATTATCTGCAAGCCAAGTGAGTTTAGTGTGTACAAGTAAGATTCCTACTGTAGCCCTTAACCCCCTTCCCCCTCACATCCTTCATAATGGAACCCAAGGAACATGTAATATCACTGATGATGGCTTCCATCCTACGGCCAAGGTCCATGGCTGTCATTTAAGAGTTTAAGTTTGTTTTTGAGAATTGTAATTGTTGCCTCTCATTCTTGTTTAATTCTGGACGTAATGTTTTCACCACCAGCTGTCAGTTTGTGGTGGATGACCAAGAGGATTATTCCCTATACTCTGCCAATCAGGACCTGCTCGTTGAGTGGAGGTTTGTGGAGGAAGTGAGGCTCCACGTCTCTGAAGCACCGGCCTGCCCCATCTGCCTCCACCCGCCTGTTGCTGCTAAGGTTGGCCTCAGAGTGTTGGTGGCGAGGTCTTTGTGTAGTTGGATAATTTTTATCACTGTATTTTTATATAGTTTTGAAGATCACTGTTATTGAACATTTTAAGGAATTTGTTGCATCTTGAAGCCGTTAATATTTTGGTGGTAACTAGTGATGGTGATGGACATTTTAGGTAACTCGTTGTGGACACATCTACTGTTTCCCGTGTGTGCTGCACTACCTTGCTCTCTCAGACGAGAAGTGGAGGAAGTGCCCCATATGTTATGAACCTGTTGTCAAGGAGGACCTCAAAAGGTAAGGCGACATGATTGTTGTGATCACCTGAAGAATCTCCACCCCAGCTTATTTCACCTGAAGATTAACCACACTAACCTAACCTATTCCCTCTCTCAATCATTAAGGTGGTTAATGTTTAGGTGAAATAAGCTGGGGTGGAGATTCTTCAACTGATTCAATTATATTACTTTATTTATTATCCCCTTGAGCTCCACAGAAGAAGTTGATGTCTGTGTGTGAGAGACACTTTGAACAGGTAATCTGACCAAAGTGGTAAAGTTTAACAAAGTTTAGAATTTATTTGAGGTTATCTGTCACAGTTGGGATAATTGGGGGATCAGTTGGAGGTCACACGTGGTCAAGTATTTGTGATGAGAAAGAAAACAGAATACTTAGTGTGTTGAGTTTTTGTCTTAAGTAGAGTTATAGGCATAAAGTTTAGGTGCAGTTCAAGTATTTCCTCTGATTGTTTTGTTGTTGTCTTTATCATTACACTAGTTATTGTCTTAACTGGTTGTTCAGGCTGTTGTTCTGTTCTTTTATTACTTTATGTCTTTTGTTGTCCATTGTTAGTACAGGGGGAAGGTGTACCCAACACATAATGATGGCAGTGTTTTAACTCTAGACAATTCCCTCTCAGCGTGGTCGCCATATGTCACAAGGAGTTTGGTATCGGTGAGGAGATCGAGTTACAACTGATGCGTCGGGAGCGTGATTCTCTCGTGCCGGTGCCCGCAGTCTTGTACAACGAAGAGATCATGAACACAGCTACCCGTATCAGCCATCCTACTGCTGCCACTCCTTACGCAAAACTACTACTAGCATCTAAGGACGAGGTAGTTTTTTTTTTTTACTTCCTCTAAGTCTTCATAAGATCATCTTTGAACACTTATATATTCTTGGTTGATAAATTTTCATCTTACTCAAAGCCTTCTTGCCATCTTGGTAAACTTGTAAATGTTTTCATCGTAATGCTTGATAAACAAATTTACCATGATCTTAAAAATTTGAATTTGTGTGAGTGTTTTTATATGAACTGTTATTTTTAGGTAAGATCCCACATCCTCATGAGAGAGAAGAGGGACTTAGAAGCTCAGCTTGTTGAGGAAGGTGACCAGCCTGAGGCTTGTTTCATCGATGAGGCGCTGTCGCTCCTCCGAACCCGCCAAGATTCCCTCAGTTCTGACTCTGATGTCGGGGAACTCCTTATTAAGGCTGAGGAAGGACTGGAAGCCATGTCACTTTCCAGTCCGGAGGAACCATCGTCAGGCGACAGTGTCTCGTCAGTGGAGGAGCCTTTGAGTCTAGTTTCTCCGACCAACGGGGAGACGACATTTTTAAGTAGGTCTCCAGCACTAGACAGTAATCAGCAAGGTGGTGGAACAGATAAGCCAACCATTACTGTTGAGGATCTAGACATCTCGCAACTCCAGCCAATGAATCAAAACACCCAGGGAGGTCAGGTGAGTTAAGGTTAAGTTAAGTTAGGTTAGGTTAGGTTTGGGGAGAGGTATGGTATAGTATTGTCCTCGTACCTTTGTCATAAATAAAGATTCTCTGATAGAACATAAGAAAATAAGGAGTCTGCAGTTGCCCGGTTGGCCTGTGCATGGCAGGTCCTGTCGAGAGTTACTACCACACTCTATCATCCATGAATCTATCCAGTCTCCTTTTGAAACTTTTCAGCATTCCCGCACTTACTACATAGTTGCTAAGCTTGTTCCACTCATCCACCACCCTTTTGTGAACCAGTTCCTTCCTATCTCCCTCCTAAACCTAAACTTATCCAACTTAAACCCGTTGCTCCGAGTCCTATCCTGCTCGGTTATTATAAGAACTTTATCTATATCCCCTTTATTGATTCCTTTCACCCACTTAAATACTTCTACCATATCTCCCCGCACTCTTCGTCTTTCTAGGGAATGCAAGTTTAGTTTCTTTAACCTATCCTGATACTGATTAAATCTGAACAGTTTTAAAGTTTACTGCTTTATTTTATCTTTATTTTAATGCCATTATTGTTTGAACTGTGTCAAGTGAAATATAAATCTTGAGAGAGAAAAAAATGTAGACACAAGAAAGTGTTGGAAGAAGAGGTAGCATCACCATTCACACTTTACTTCTATCCTTAACTTTTACATAGTACAGAGTGAACCATTAACCTCCAAATAGCTAATTCAATATGTATACTGTACTATTTTTAATGTCTGTAGAAGTATTCACAGAACATACAGTTGTAGCTGTATATAGTATAAATACAGTAATAATAATACCGTTGATAATGTTCTTATATTTGTTTTTAGTGATGTGGTTCGCTAATATTAAATTCTCTGTCTTCAGGCACCTCGCAATGCTCCAAAATCTACTTTCTACTTCTACCAAGCAAGCAATGGGGCACACATCTACATGCATGCTGTTAACGTGCAGATGCTGGTGCAGGAATATGGTGCCTTGGAGAACTGCCCTCCTATCATTGTAGCCAAGGTGGTGGAGAAGGTAAGACAACAATAGAACATTATTTGTTTTGTACATAATTGGTCTATTGACTTAAGCTCACCCCACTTTGGCTTCCTGGTCATCGTCATAATCGTCGGTTTAAGGCCATTTCCCACGCTTGCATGGGTTAGTTGTGAGGACCTGATGGCAGCTTTCCATGCTGTGCAGTCTCTGGCAGCCTCTCTTCTTATGTTCTTAACTCTTGAGGCCATTTTATTACAACCTCCCTTAGCTCTCTTTCTCTCCACATGACTCATTCATCACTTGACCCATTTAGTCTCATTCATACTCTCCACATGCTTGAACCATCTTCGTATATTTGATTCCCTTTATTACATTAGGCATGAAACAAAAATTGGCTCGGAATTCTCCAATGTATAGCAGAAAAACTAATTTAACACCAAGCAACTTGTGTGTATTGTGACAGTTAACTAAGAATGTCAGATGTGAGGGATGAATTGATGACCTGCAGTATGTGATCAGAAATGGGCAAGCCTAACCTTTTTTTACTTATCATATAATGGAAGATTGTGTTAAAGAATATTCAAGTCAGTGTGATGGGCTTTTATACCTGTGTATATTTGGGCTTTTATACCTGTGTATATTCTAGCTGGGGTTAGTAATACTTAGAGTTGACTGGGTTAGCTGTAGGGATGGCAGCCATCATCAGTGGACCTTTCTATTGCCTTCATTACAGTTCTGATCACATGGGGTGGGTGGAGTAAGGTTAACTAGTTGAGAAGGAACCCAATGTACAGTATTTCTAAAGTTTGAGGCAACAAATATAATTTGTATCACTTTTTAGGAATCTGTGTCCATGACTGAGGATCTCCGGCTGCGTCTGAGGTACTTACGACACTTGCCAGTTACTTGCTGTTTCGACGTTGTGGAAGTGTCATTCCGGCACCCTGTTGTGTCCAAAATGACTACAGCAATGTTCCAGGTGGGGTGGTAATATTAGTTAATGTAGTGGAAGATAATGTGGCATGATTCATAACCTTCTTTAGCTCTGTTAATCTGTCAGTCTCACCAGAAGGGGATATGTAAGTACTGTAGCAGAATTCTTGGTTCTTTTGTTTGTGGTGAACGTAATAACAACTGTAATGGATATGTACTGTGATGATGCTTCCTGTTACCACAACAATGTTCATAAAATATATTTAATTAATCTGTCACATCAGATAACTTAACACTTGCCCTCAGCAGTACTGTACATCCATCCTCAGTAATGCCTTCATCACCATTCTCTTTAGTGATTTACACTCGCTCACTCGCTCACAACCAATTTAACCCGGTTTCAGGAGCAGATTCAATATAGGCAGTGGAAGCGGAATGAACGTGCCCGTGAGGAATGGAAAATAGAAATGCGAGTGCGGGCGGAGGAGGACCGCATGATGGGACGGAGCAAAGCAGCGACCAACCTCAAGATAGAATCCTTGAGACACTTCCCATCTTTTGGTGAAGACTTTCCTGCCGGGTAGATATATTACCTTCACGTACATCATGGGAGATATATTACTTTATTTTCTGCCTTATATAACTTTTTTTGCCACAATATCTCCAGATATCACCCTGCATCTTACATGCTGAAGGTTAACGCTAGGGGGCAGCAGTTACCAATACTCGACCAAAATCAAGACACTCTTATTTGACACACTGGTTCCCACATGACCCCAGAATGATATATATATATATTAGATGATAAATAAGATAGTTTTTATATATACCGTAGTATATATATATTTGCCGTTATATAAACGCAATAGAAGAAAATATTTCGCTATTACAGACCAAGCGGGGAGGTCAACGAGGGGGCGAACACTGCTGGTGGCGGTGAAGTCATTGGCAGTGAAGCAAGTACCAGTCCCAGCAGTGATGTAGTGACCAGCTCCTCTGTAGAGGGAACCACCACTGGCATGTCTTTTGCGAAGGTATTAGTGTGTGTAGACGAGAGAACACACCGTGACATGTGGTAGAGGAGTGGATGATTTAGTGGAGGAGGAGGAGGAAAATTTAATGGAAGAGAGGAGGAGGATGATTATGTGGAAGAGAAGGTTAATTTAGTGGGAGAGAAGAGGAGGAGAATAATTTAGTGGGAGAGAAGAGGAGGAGAATAATTTAGTGGAAGGAAAGAAGAGGAGAGATAACTTAAAGGGAAGGTAAAGGAAAAAGCTATACAGGTATCTTAATTGAGGAAGTGTGTAGATGATAATGTATGGACACCTTGTACATCTCATAACCTCACTGCCAGATCTAAGGCTCATGATACAAATACACAGTGTTCGACAATACACATCATACTGTATATTAGATTGGTAAGTTAGGTTAGGTTTCTTTTTGTCTGTGTATGTATGTATGTGCTTTCATAAAGTGGTGAGGTAAGGATTGTTTTGTTTGTGCGTACTGTCATAAAGTGGCAAGGTTAGCTTTGGTTGTTTTGTATGTGTGATGTCAATAGTTTGCTTTGGTTAAGTGTTGTTGTCTTATGTTCAACCCAAATTCTCCACAAGAGCAAGGTTAGTTGTTGGGTGTGGCAAATGAGTGAATTCTCCCTTTATAAGATTAATGTAATGATCAGTATGAGATTGTAATTCACTTTTAAAGCATCCAATTTTTTTGCATTTTGTTACCGTATAGATTTGAAATTCATGAGTATTATTTCTGTCTGTCCTTTTTTCTTTCTGATGTTTGTATGAAGTGGAACAAGGAGATTAAACTCTAGGGGAGATTAGTGCAGAAACAAATTGTACTGTACTTCCTCAAGACCTGAACCAAAGTTAATCCCTTATCCTCATAGTGTCGCTTTATTTAACTCCTGTATGTATCATCATCTTGTTGTGTTGCAGATGATCCGAGAAGGTCAGACACGGGTGCAACACTCCAGCAGTGAACCTGTCAACATAACGCGTGGGGTTTGGCCGACTCTTGGGGGACCAGCCTCACGACCCACCGAGCTCCCCTCGTGGAACAGTGGTATGTGTTGGTGTTGTTGTATCTCTTATGATATTTTTAACTGTTGTTAGAATAGTGTAAATACTAGCTTAGTTCTGCACTTAAAAGACCTTAGTTGTTGAAGCGCAGTACAGTATAGTCTTGATTTACGCGGATTTCCTTTACTTGGTTGGTCATTTATGTGGCACCTGGCCAGACCGGCAATTATTAGTTACGCGGTACATTCCATCATTTACGCGGGAAGCGGCGCGGCAGGGTGCGCACTAGGTTGCCCAGTCAACAAAACATTACCGAGTTCTTCACCCGCCATCCACCACAGCCAGCCCAAGTCAGTGATAGTGAGGATATGGACTTTGAGGGGTTTGACAAAGAGACCCTGCAAGCCTCTGTGGTGGATAGTGATACAATTGATACAAGTGATACAGGATGAGGGCCAATAATCTGCCGTCTGCCTCGGAACCAACCCCCTCATCCCTGTGTGCCCAGCCATCTCTTCTACTAACGTAAGTGTTAAAAAACCTATTATTATTGATATTTCTCTTAAAAATTACTTGTGTGTGCATACCATCATAAAATTAAGATGTTATTTTTACTAAAACGTACTTATTGTGTCGGAAAAAGGGTAGTCTGGGGGTCGGCCCAGTCTCTATTTCAATTTATCCCATATTTTCTGTTATTTCGTTTACGCGTTTCTCGTATTACGCGGACCTCCATGGATTTAATTGACCGCGTAAACCGAGACTGTACTGTACTGTACTATAATCACCTTGTCGTCATTGTTAGAATGATCGTCGGTCATTTTACAAACTGCAGTATACAGCACCATGTTTACTTGTCCCATTTATTGTACTTTGTAAATTTGGGGAAAAAAATCATAAGTCAAGAACAGAATCTATCAACGTGATTCATTTTATTTATGTATACTCCCCATTTGTGATATTGCCCGGCTCAGGAATTGGGCAATGCTAGTTTTGCCCAGTTTGTGAAATGGGATACAAATCTGACCTAACCTAACAAACCCCAACTGAACATAATCTACCCTAACCAAAGCTAACAACCTAACCTAATATAACTCAGCTAACATAACATAACCCAACCCAGTCTAACCTAATCTAATTTTTACACCAAAAATGTTTCCTACTTTGCCGGTGTGAGTCATATGTGGCGTGGTAGTGTTGTGAGTACAGTATTCGAGAGTGGTGCGGTGTTGTTTTTACCGATGATCCCACAGTTTACATGTCTGGAAAATGAATTCTAAGTAAAACTGAGGGTGAAGGTATTAAGAGAGAAGGGAAAATACAGTAATAACATTGGATGTATAGTTTGATGTGATAAAGGTGATTTGAAGTGAGAGGGACAGGCAGCTGGCAGTACTGTACAGTATGTCCCAACTTTTCCCATTAAACCCTACTTTTTGCTCTGTTATTTATGTGCTAATTATCATTTTCAATCATAAGATGAGTACAGTATAGGCAATGGAAATGCATGGTACAGTAATTTTTTTGTGTGCAAGTCCAGAGAGAGAGAGAGAGAATGTTAAGGCAGTGATCAGTTCTAGCATGTTATATTTTTTTCCCATTGCATTAAGGTACTACAATTGTGATCATATCTTGATTGATGTTTAATCCATTTGTAGGAGGCACGCGCAGCAGGAGACGGGTACCTCAGTTGAGCGAGTCCTCTACAAACGACGGCAATTGCACGGAGGAAGAGGAGAGAAACTTAGCTGTGCCGGAGTTTAAGCACGCTTTCAGTGATGCTGTAGCCAAGGCTCTAGATGCTGCAGCCAAGAAATCTGCAGGTGAACAAAGGCTCTCATTTAATGTCAATATTTATGTTTCACTCCTCATATTCATTTTGGGGGGTACAGGATGCTATATCTAGGACCCTTCCTCTTGTGGTCTCGTTTCTTTTAGGGGTTGTAGGCCATTTGGATGTCAGTCCTCATTGGGATTGAGCCCAAATTGGGTCATGTTCCACTAGGATTGAGTTCCATTAGGACAAGATACAGATCCCAGTTGGTTAGGTTAGGGTCCGGTCATGAGAGCCAGTGTAAATTTCATTACTTTTTAGAAATGATTTATTTCTTTGGTGGGATCAGGGCCTTAGTCATCCCATATTTACACATTTATTACTTGTCCCTTTTTATGTACCTAGACATCCCCCACCCCATTAACAAGAAGGAAATGAGTAAAAAAATGCCCCTCTTGATAATGCAGAGAAATCTGTGTTTGAATGAATGTCAGGGAAGACTTTACATGTTGTTTCTCAATTTGAGTAAAGAAAAATGTATTTTGGTTTCATAGATAATTAGCTATTTTCTGAATTATGTCATTTACATTTGTATGAGATGATCGTATTAGCTAAACCAATATATTTTTGTTTACAGCCAAAGCCGAAGAAAATGAAGACATTGGCAGGAGGGGGAAGAAGAAGAAGAAGCACAAGGTGCTGTTATTCTCCTCGGGAGGACTGAACTGACACCACCTCCAGCGTGGGGGGTGTTATCTAGTGTTACATGGGCTGAATTACATCCTAAGTTTATTGATTACGGACTTTATTTTACCCAGTTCATTGCTATGACTGTCACTGTTAAAAGTTGTCACATAACTTGGTTGCGAGGTACAGCAGCCATATGTGAATACGTTTTTTGTTTTATATGTTGGGTAAAATATGCATTGATTAGTATCCTTTATTTTTTATAAATTGTGGTGAAATTTGCAGTTAGCTACTTCATGTGTAGTCGGGTGTTTTAACCTTTACAGTTTATTTGCATCACATTAATTGCCATTTACTTTAGTGTCTTTTACTATATTGCCTGGTACTGTACTCTCTATTTTCCTAACTGCTAACTACGCCTTGCTGCTGTGATCATGCGTGTGCTGCCGGTAACTTGGGACATTTCGAACATACTGTATTAGTGTCATCATTATTATTATTATTTTGGGTATACTATGGTACCCAAAATTTTCACATCCAATTGCACTGTTTTAATATATGAAGACTTTTGGTTAATTATTTATCTTATTACAGTAATGTTAGGATATTTTGTCACAGATTGTACAGTATGCTGGCTCTTTTTCAGTAAAGTATTTAGGTTACGGAAGTCTAGTAATAAATAGCCTTTTACTTTAATTTTTGTATTTTGTAAAATATTCATGGATCTTTTGATTAAAATTACAGTGATACACCTGCATAATACAGTAATACTCTGTAGAATTATAGGAAATATATGTAACTAATTAAACTTTTTCCATCATGCATTGAGTTTCCTGTGGGGTTAAAAAAATTACTACAGTGTATTAAAAAAATTGTTCCCCAAGGTTAATGCTATAAATGCAGAAATAGACAATTTTACTTAATGTTTTAGTTTATTTGTTTCAACCTATTTATGACTGTAAATGGTCAACTGTGTGGTGATCTCTCATAGGTACCCAGTACTTAGTTATTGGACACATGAAGCAGGTACTGTAGTATTGTATGTGAGGTTGTGGCTTGTATTTGGGCATACTTAACACTTTAAAAATTGGTATGATTTTGTGTTTTTTCTGTTGCTCTTACATCTCATCCATGGCATATGTAAGTCTATACCATTATGTAGCGGCACCTGTTGCTTCCATAGCCACTTAAATAAACTGTAAAAATCCACACACATTTTTTTCCTGCCCGGTTTATGTATATGACAGTATAGATGTGGGTTGTGAAAGTCTTAGAAACCGAAAAATTTATTGTTTTTATTGTGAAAGGAAATGTCATTGAGAGCTAAGAGGACAGCAGGGTATTGAGAGTAAGGAAGAGGTTTTGTACTGAAAGGTTATAATGGTTCAATCCATATTGGTGAATGCTCAGTGTGGGTTATGAAGGTGTGCATAGTGGGAAGGCAATGCTCAGTGGAGGTTATGAAGGTGTGCATAGTGGGAAGGCAATGCTCAGTGGAGGTTATGAAGGTGTGCATAGTGGGAAGGCAATGCTCAGTGGAGGTTATGAAGGTGTGCATAGTGGGAAGGCAATGCTCAGTGGAGGTTATGAAGGTGTGCATAGTGGGAAGGCAATGCTCAGTGGAGGTTATGAAGGTGTGCATAGTGGGAAGGCAATGCTCAGTGTAGGTTATGTAGGTGTGTGTGTGTGTGGTGGGAAAAGCTGTGGAACAAAATACTGAGAGAAAGAACATCAAGGTTGGGGATGTCCTGAATATGGTTGTATGACATTTAAAGGAGGGGGTATGTTGACTATGTACGAGTCAGGTGGTACAAAAACCTGTATTGATTAATTTATTGTTAGGGATGTGAAGGTGATAGAGGAATAATGTGTTGCAGGGGAAGGAAGGTGTTTGTTAAAAGGAGAGAGTGGGAAGAAAACAGTTAACAGGAGTGGAAATAGACAGCAACTGTGTGAGGTAGTATAGGGTTGGTTGGTTTAAGTGGAGGTGGTGGTCTAATAATAATAAAGGTTTATTAATGGAGCTGCAGCAGGTGGCTGAAAATATACGGACTTACATTTGATTTAGACAATGATATAATATGCATTGAATACATTTACAGGGCTGTACAGTACATAAATCAGGAGTTGTTTATTATTTTAACAACAGATGGGATGGTGCTGTTCTTGTATCTATCGGTGCGGGCTCTTAAGGGCCATGGTGGTGAAATAATGGAAGTAGGCAGATTGTATTAGACCTAGGAAGATGGGCAGTAACAAGGGAGGCACCTGGAGGTCAAGTACAGGGCCAGAAGGGGTTAACATGACTAAGAAGCATAAACAGGATACACCCTAAAACTATGCTAAAGTGTCCCCTGAATTCTGGTATAATTTTCATGAGACTGTCCTATGCTTTCGTGTTATCAATATGATCTTGCAACTGGGGGCATATATATTAGGTTTAAAGGAACCTTATAAAGATTAGAACGTACTCATTTCACTTCATGATTAAACTTAAGTTGATTTAACCTAACCTAATCGGATTTTCAGTGAAACTACACAAGGGTCCATGGAAACTGATTACTGTTTACAATTGTTTGTACATTATATTCTCCCTTTAAAATTTACATACATATTTATCCAATTTTGAACAATTTTACTGATGAAATATTATAATTGTGAAGTAATGTATGAGCGTTTAAGATGACCTGTACGATAGTTTGGGTGAGGCTTTTGGCAACACCGACTGGCAGCGTTCACAAGCCGTTCACCTTCATTGGAGGTAAAGCCGTCAACGAGTGAGGTGAGGAAGTTTAAACCTCCTCTAAATTTATCCATTCATGGGTCTCTCATGACCTATAGTGATCATTTTAACCAATTTATCGAAGTGAAAGATGAAACAGACAACGTAGTGAAGGAAAGGAAACATGGAAAGGACAGATAACTGGTGAAATTGAGGAAACACTGCGTGGTCAAAGGAAAGTCGCTGGTCGACAAGAAACAAGTGAGATTTGTCTTATAAAGCCATCATTATTATCCGAGTAAGTATATATTTATTTTTAACCAGTGAAAATAACATAGAGATTGGTATTAAAAGTACTCTTGATATATAATAACTTAAAATATTTAAGAAATTGTCATTGGATAAAGAAATATTAGATGGATTCAGGACATTTTTAATGGTAGTTAATTTACATTTAAAATGGCATTAAATCTTCACTAATATATATATATATATATATATATATATATATATATATATATATATATATATATATATATATATATATTATTTTTTGTATTTATCATGTATCTAGAGAGTACAGGTAAACAATGTACAGTATACAACTATAAGAACATAAGAATGGAGGAAACTGCAGCGTGTCTATTGGTCCATACTGGGCAGTCCCGTTTACACCCAACCCCTATCGCTCATATAAGCATCCAACCTATGTTTGAAGCTACCCAGCATATTCGAGTTAATGATGATACTTGGTAACTTGTTCCATTCATCCACTACTCTGTTTCCAAACCAGTGTTTACCTATTTCACGCCTAAATCTAAATTTCTCCAATTTAAAACCATTGTTACGAGTTCGCTCCTGGTTGGATAGTTTGAGTACCTTTGTAATGTCCCCATTGTTCAGCCCTGACTTCCATTTATACACATCTATCAGGTCGCCCCCTCACTCTACGTCTCTCGAGGGAGTGCAAATTTAGATGCTTTAACCTGTCTCTATACTCAAGGTTCCTAATGCCCGGGATTAGTCTTGTCATTCTCCTCTGAATTCTTTCCAATGATTCTATATCCATTCTGTAATACGGTGACCAGAACTGAACTGCGTAATCCAGGTGTGGTCTCACAAGAGCAAGATATAGTTTTAGGATGACCTCGCTAGTCTTGTAACTACACTCCTTTGTATGAACCCAAGTACTTTATTAGCCTTGTTACGAGCAAAAACACATTGTTTACTTGGCTTAAGGTTCCTACTTATCATTACTCCTAAATCTCTCTCGCAGTCGGATTTCTCTATGGCATCGTTGTTCATCTGGTATCTGGTTTCCCTGTTTACATCTCCTATACTGAGTACTTTACATTTGTCCACGTTGAATTTAATCTGCCATTTTTCAGACCATTCGAAAAATTTGTTTAGATCTTCCTGTAGTTTTGCTGAGTCCTCGTCAGATTTAATAACACGTCCTATTTTAGTGTCATCAGCAAATTTACTTATGTTGCTGTCTATGCCGATATCTATGTCATTTATGTATATAATAAATAATAATGGTCCAAGTACTGAGCCTTGGGGAACTCCACTTGTGACGTTGCTCCAATGGGACTTAAAGCCGTTGTTGCTCACTCGCTGTTTCCTGTCCTGTAACCACGCCCTAATCCATTTAAGGATGTTACCTTTGATGCCATGAGCTTCTACCTTTCTAATTAGTCTTTCGTGGGGGACTCTGTCGAAGGCTATCTGCAGGTGGGGGTTCGATATGCTGCGAAATTTTACGTGTGACTAGTGACAGCCCTTATATACCAAAATTTATCGTCCAGGGTCTCATATTGTTCCCACAAAGTATGCACAGATTGTTATTTTTGCTACTGTACCTAGACAGTGCAGGTATACAAACAATGTACTGTACCTAAACAGTGCAGCTACGCAAGCAATGTTCTGTACCTAGACAGTGCAGGTACACAAACAATGTACAGTTCCTAGACAGTGCTGGTACACAAATAATGTACCCAGTCAGTGCAGGTACACAATGTATGTACTGTACCTAGACTGTGCAGGTACACAAATAATGTACCTAGACAGTGTAGGTAGTAGGCAGCTATCAAACAGGGAGGTACTACCACCTGGGAAGGTATTGGAAGCATAATATGTTGTCTAATGGTAGACCCTGCTGCCATATGACATCACAAAAATTGTGACCAAGTCCCAGGTTGCTGATCTGACTTTCTGCCTCATTTACACACAATTGCAGGGTCTCTTACTTTGACAACACAACATATCTATCGTTTCTCACTATTGATATTTTTTTGGGCTCGTTTATTTATGGTACAGTATTTAGAATTAATATTATTATACCGTTTATGTTTTAAAATTTATATATTATTACAGTATTATTATTATTATTATTATTATTATTATTATTATTATTATTATTATTATTATTGTTATTATTATTATTGTTGTTATTATTATTATTATTATTATTATTATTATTATTATTATTATTATTATTATTATACGTACTGTATCTTCGCCCCCAGGGCCTCAGGCACTGATGTGGGTCATTGACCTGTGCTTGGGTGGGCTAATCCCCATATAAAGAAAAATGTACCCAGACATTGCAGATACTGCACACAAACAATGTACACAGACAGTGTATGGTGTTCACAGTTAGTCACCCATCCAAGTACAGTCCTGCACTGTATTAACTAAACCCAATGTTGTTTATCTTCAATGATAAGACAACAAGCTAGTGTATTTTCAATGTGGTATGGCCACTGATCTAACTCAAACTGTATTGACCTAACTTATCAAACCAAAGATGTTAGCCTATGATTTGTTTAGGCTAGATTAGGTTAAGTTATGCTAAATCATAAAAAAAAAACATTGACCATACAGAAATCCTCCAAGTGGGATGTAATCATTAGTCTGTGGTTCAGTTAATATTTTTGTTTGGTTTCTTAAATGTTTTTCATATACTGTAGCTACTGTATTGTGTAGTATTTTTCTGTGGTTCACTGTTAGATTTACATTCTACAGTGGAGATCCCATAAAGAGAAATGTTGAGTGACAAAGCTAAACATAACTGTTACTGCTAGGTGTGTTGACTGTTAGTGTGTTGTTGGTTTAACCCATAAATGGCAGTAAAGGATCCCCTAATACTGTATGTGCAAAATCTGGAATACAAGAAACACGAAACCTCCTTTGAAGTTGGCCGTATCTCTACAGCTAACATCCGCAGATGTTGGCTGCCGTTTATTGGTTAAGTATTGGTAATAATGTACTGTACTTGGTGTCTAAGGAGCCTTTATGCTTCTCTCCAGGATGGCTCCAGTGGTGTCAGTTGTAAGAAATGCTCCGATGGTGTGTCTGGTGCGAGGTGTTCGCTCGGGCTGCAGCTGGCGAGACCACAGGAAGGCTTGTGTTGCCTATTCCTCATCCTTCCTCAGTTCAGATAGGGTTGAGTACCGCGCCAGAGCCACACACAGCTCGGAGAGGGAAAGAGCAAAAACAGTAGCAGCGTATTACAACCAGCCAGCCATTGAAGCCGCAGCACAGAAGGTGAGTACAGTACTGGGTTTACAGTACAGCTCCTCCTCGACTTATGACCTACTCAACTTACGACCACCCGGACATACGACCGGCTCAGTCGTACCAAAATTTTTTTAAATTAAGTATTTTCGAGTCCCAACGTCAGTGATTGCGCTGTGTACTGACAAAATTTTCGTTTGTAATTCACTTTAAAATGGCTGGCAAGCTTAAAAGTGAGAGTTTTGTGGTGCTGAGAAGAAAAAGACTTAGATTTTATATGTATTATTTAAGTATTTTCGACTTACGACCATTTCGACTTACAACCTGGGTTTGGGTCCCTAACCCCGTCTAAAGTCGGGGAGGAGCTGTAGTAAGATATGATACAAAAAGAACTAGTAAGTGAGGGATATTGGTGGTACAGCGGTAATGTGCTTATCTCACCATCATGTTGTGGGTTCACTCCCTGGCCTGGGACAGAAGTGAAAAAAATGTTATCCAGTTTGAACCTCCAAAATATGGCAGGTTTTCTTCTGAGCACTATAGTTTCCTCCAGTACCATTTTAACACTGAACAATAAAATCATAGTAAGAAAGAACAGACCAGGCACCTAGAAAGCTGATAAATGGTGAACTGATAAATGAATAAAAATAAGTAAAAGGTACCTTATCAACAATGTATATATAGGTTAGCTTGACGCCTCTGCAGAAAGTGAGTCCTGTCACCTAGACGCTGGTAAATGGGTATTACTAAGTGCCACTTTTATATTTATCTTCACCAGTCTTGGCATGCACTAGTAACAGGTGTAGGGTCTGCACTCTGACGTTTTCACATTAAGTTTTATCCCCTCACTGGAGGTGTTTGATTTTAGTCAACTGGTTTATGAATAAGACAAAACGAAGGAGTTTTGGTGATTCCTACTTGAAAATGTTCTTAAAATTTACAACAATATGTTGACAGGCTCGAGTGTGAGGTAATTTAACCCCTTCCCTACTGGACGTCACTTTTATTTTATTTGGCACAGAGACCCCTTATACCCAAGGGGTTAATAACCTACCGGTACCTCCACTAAAACTAGACTTGACCAGTATGTACTGTTAAAAGTTTGGGTTCATTCAGTAGCCAGTACTGTACATGTCCAGTTCAGTTCAGTACAGTACAGTACTTAGCAATGGTGTGTAACAGATAGCCATTACTGTCCAACAGTTGTAACAGAGAACCCATACTTGCCAACAGTATATAAGAGCCCATAAATACTCAGTACTTTCCAACAGTATATATAGATCTGAGCCTATACATGGCCAGTATGTAACAGATAGCCCATAAGTACTCAGCACAGTCCCTACCAACAGTGTGTAACAGAGACATGACTGACCACCTAACTGACTGACTATTGGTGAAGAGTATAAACCCCCAAAACAAAAACAAACATACATACATGAGAGCATATTGAACTGACTCACTTTAGTTATGATTCAGTGACAGGTTCTTAAAGATTCCTGTTAATTTTTCCTCTCTGGGAATGTAGTGAACTGATTCACTTAAACCTATGATACAATTCTCAAATAGTACAAGAACAGGTCATTTGGGATTTATGAACAGGTCAGGGGAAGGTCAGCGAGGGAAGGGTAGTGGAGGTTGGTCATGTGTCACGTGTCTTTGCCAACTGGCTATGACAACTTGGCAACCAGTAGACCTATGTGACGCATCTGCCTTTATAGTATGTGGCTTAACTCCTTTATGTCTCTACTTAACACTTTTATGCCTCCGTCAACACAAATATGTCCCAACTTAACACCTATATGCCTCTTCTTAACACATATATGCCACAACTTAACACCTATATTATGCCTTGGCTTCACACCTGTATGTCTGTACTTAACACCTGTGTTCCTCTGCTTAACACCTGTATGCCTCTGCTTTACACCTTTATGCCCCTACTTAACACTTGTATGCCTCTGCTTAACACCTGTATGCCTCTGCTTAACACCTGTATGTCTCTGCTTAACACCTGTATGCCTCTGCTTAACACCTGTATGCCTCTGCTTAACACTTTTATGTCCCTACTTAACACCTATATGCCTCTACCTATCCTAACCTACCCCAACACTATCCTACCTTAACCTAACCCTACCTCAACCCTACCTAACGCTATCCAGTTCTACCCAAACTCTATCCCAATTCTACTTAACGCTACCCAGTTCTACCTAGCTACCCCAGTCCTGCCGAGCTACCTCAGTCCTGCCGAGCTACCTCAGTCCTGCCGAGCTACCCCAGTCCTGCCTAGCTACCCCAGTCCTGCCTAGCTACCCCAGTCCTGCCTAGCTACCCCAGTCCTGCCTAGCTACCCCAGTCCTGCCTAGCTACCCCAGTCCTGCCTAGCTACCCCAGTCCTGCCCAATCAGAGTGAAAGTTGTGTGAGTTGAGAAATATGGGAGAGTGACGGAGGTGTGTTGGCTGCCAGCAAATGATGGGTGAACCAGAAAGATCAAAATAGTCATATGAGAGGGAGAGAGGGTGATTGTGGTAGTGAGATGAGAAATGGTGTGATTGTGGGAGTGAGAGAGAGCGTGTGTGATTGTGGGAGTGAGAGAGGGTGAATTATCGGCTTACATGATAGGTGCTGGTACTGTATATACTTACTTGTGTTAGGTACTAGCCACTGTGCCACTACAGATGGGACGACAACAGGTATCTTCTCTTGTCCTGAAATATCTGTTTTAAGGTGTCATTTCCTGGGTAAATTTGGCACAATACTGTTTTTGAAGAGTATTGTAGATAGAGAGAGAGCACAGGGTGTTTTTTTTAGCCCTTATGCACGAGGTGTTCACGTGGTCTCAAGATTTTGTAACGTTACAGAAATGTAAGACCACGTTTCTTTTGGGGGGGGGATTAGCCCACCCGGGCATATGTCACTGACCCACATCGGGGCCTGGGGGGCGAAAATGTAATAATAATAATAATATTTCATAGTTGGGATACAACAAGCCTCGTGACAACTATTCTGTTAATAACACCTTCCTGGATACTGTTGATAAGGAAAATATCTAGGCATTGTATGATAGATCAGTCAATAAAGGCAGCACAAGTGGAAGTAACAATAGAAAAAAAGCCAACCGAGGTTTAGGAATTATATGGCCTACCCTCGAACACAAAGATACCCCACTTCCGAAAATAGTTAAGAGGGAAAAGTGAACTAGAGACTTGTGCCAGCGATAGAATTAGGCCAGTAACCCCAATAAATGAAGATAGTGGTTGGTCTATTTGATGTAAGTCACTGACCCTATAAATGATAAAGTGGTTCAGTAGTCCATCTAAAGGATACAATTTGGCCTGCAGTCTCATAGTAGAAAAAATTTAGGCCTGTAGTCCCTTTAAAAGATACAATTTGGCCTGTAGTCTCTTAGTAGCAATAAAATTTAGGTCTGTAGTCCCATGGAAGTGATTAGTCTACTTGACCTTTAGATTGATGCAATTAGACCAACAAACCTCATGGACAATTCAGTTAATCCACAGTTCCTGACTCAAGATAAAGCTGGTTTTTTTATCAGAAGGAGGACTGAAGTATTGATTCAGTATGGCTAGTAAGCTGATAAGTGGACATGATAAATTGAGTAAAGATAAAAAAAATGATTGGAAATATCATCATATCAATAGTATGTAAACATCAAGGTGGTTACTTCTGGGTTGTTGACTTCTCTTATCACAACCTTGCGTACGATGGACAAAGTTCAGTAGATAGGTAGATGTTTATTCAGTAAATTCATCATATATATGTTTACAAACAATTGATTCAGCATGTATGTGTATGTAAACAATGTGGCTACAGTTCATCATGTATTATAGACAAAAAGTATACAATGTACCGAGACAGTGCAGGTATACAAACACTGTACCTAGACAGTGCAGGTATACAAACACTGTACCGAGACAGTGCAGGTATACAAACACTGTACCTAGACAGTGCAGGTATACAAACACTGCACCTAGACAGTGCAGGTATACAAACACTGTACCTAGACAGTGCAGGTATACAAACACTGTACCTAGACAGTGCAGGTATACAAACACTGTACCTAGACAGTGCAGGTATACAAACACTGCACCTAGACAGTGTAGGTATACAAACACTGTACCTAGACAGTGCAGGTATACAAACACTGTACCTAGACAGTGCAGGTATACAAACACTGCACCTAGACAGTGCAGGTATACAAACACTGTACCTAGACAGTGCAGGTATACAAACACTGTACCTAGACAGTGCAGGTATACAAAACATATGCCTAGACAGAATGTAGGTAGCCTGACACTGTACCCTAGACAGTGCAGGTATACAAACACTGTGCCTAGACAGTGCAGGTAAAACAAACACTGTACCTAGACAGTGCAGGTATACAAACACTGTACCTAGACAGTGCAGGTATACAAACACTGTACCTAGACAGTGTAGGTATACAAACACTGTACCTAGACAGTGCAGGTATACAAACACTGCACCTAGACAGTGCAGGTATACAAACACTGTACCTAGACAGTGCAGGTATACAAACACTGTACCTAGACAGTGCAGGTATACAAACACTGTACCTAGACAGTACAGGTATACAAACACTGCACCTAGACAGTGCAGGTATACAAACACTGTACCTAGACAGTACAGGTATACAAACACTGCACCTAGACAGTGTAGGTATACAAACACTGCACCTAGACAGTGCAGGTATACAAACACTGCACCTAGACAGTGTAGGTATACAAACACTGTACCTAGACAGTGTAGGTATACAAACACTGTACCTAGACAGTGCAGGTATACAAACACTGTACCTAGACAGTGTAGGTATACAAAAACTGTACCTAGACAGTGTAGGTATACAAACACTGTACCTAGACAGTACAGGTATACAAACAATGTACCTAGACAGTGTAGGTATACAACACTGTACCTAGACAGTGCAGGTATACAAACACTGTACCTAGACAGTGTAGGTATACAAACACTGTACCTAGACAGTGTAGGTATACAAACA